AACTAGCAAACTGTATTCGCACGTATGATTAGCTGAATACCACTAAAAAAAACCACTTGAAACAGTTCAAATAAGAAAAGAATGTCTGCAAGGTTAACTACAATATCGAATCTCAACACTTGCTACTACATCCCCAGTAATACTTTACGAAATATATATTTCGTATTCATATGAATACCTTTGGTCCAAGACGTCCAGTTTGAGCCATGTTGATGAGCATGTTTTCAACCATTTTAGCTTTTTCTGGCTTTGTAATCGCGATGGTATTCACTATGAATAGAAAATGCATGTTTATTGAACTTACAACGTGCTCTTGCATCTTGATCGAGAATTTGAGCTAGAATACTGGCACGAATCTCCTGATTTCTTTTCTCCACATCTTCTTTTTGCTTTGTGTCTTTCTAGAGAAAGTGACGAATCCATAATCAACACATACATCATCGCCAGACTCGCCACCTGGGATCATAACCACAGCATACAAAAATACAACCTTGAGGAATGGCCTTCAGTCACGAACAAGCAACAATGAAATTCAAGAGCCACCCACGAAAATAGACAGAAAGTTTACTGCTCCAAACAGTCCTCAAAATATAATTAAAGCTTTTAAGCTGTTGTCAAATCTTTCTAAGACTTGAAAAGTCTCAAAAACACTAAATCTAGGTTCATTGAACTGATATCGGGCGATGTCAATCTTAGTCACTGATTACGGATATGTATGGTTTATTTGAACGATCGATTGTAGATATTTTAGGACAAATTCTGTTTTCGAACAAAATAATATGTTACTTTCCCATCATGACTGAGTGCGCTACACCTGACAGGTCCGCACCATGATGGAATAGTATTTCTCTCATATAAAACCTTTCATCTTTTATGTAAGCCAGCAAAAATGACAAAGAACTAAGCATACATTTCATAATTAGTCACGACAGTGTGAATAATAATCACCACATCATTTCGGGTGGTTGCCTAGTACAAGGTAGAAAATGTAATCAATGCTGGAAATTAACGTCAAGGAGTCTTTTGTAATTCTGTAGATTTTTCTCCTTGAAACCCGTTTGCAGTGATCGGCTGTACTTAAAAACGCGGACGGACAAATTGTTCGTATGGATGAAAGGATGTAATGTAATGTGTGAAATAGTAGTTACTGTAGAGGTAAATAAATCCCCAAAATAAATAGCTCTGTAAGTTCTCGACATTAGATGCTGACCACAGTTTTAATGGATTCACCTAGCTGAAGGCGCTCGGTCAAGCGTCCGCACTAGATCACGTGTGGGAACGCCGTGCTCAACATCTGCCGCAATCGCTAGCCAGATTAGTTCAGATGATCCTCGATATATTGATAGCTTATCAAATATATCTTTGATCTCCTTGCTTCTGCCTTTTGATTTCACTTGGTGGTTACGCTTCATATTAGAAGGTGTTACTGGTTAAAGCGCTGTCAAACTCTGAATACCTGTGGCATCTTCATTACAAATGGCGTTTTTTCCTGCAAAACCCACTGAGTGGTAAATGCTTGAGGCTCAATTCTCACTGATTTTTTATGTTTGCGTTCGAGTAGAACGTCACTAATCAGAGAGGCAATAGTCCTTCTGAAGTTGATCCTTAAGAAAGTTGTTGACGGAGCATCAGAAAAATTAGCACCGGTAGAAAAAACTGTCAGTGCAGAAAAAGTTGGTACACGGGAAGTCAGACACCAAACTAAGAATTGTGAAATTAGACGTGTGCATTGTATAAAAAGGTCGTGTTGATAGTTAGTAGTATTTTACCAGGTAAATATATAACATTTTAGGACAAGAAATTGTCAAGAAAGAGCAAAATGACTAAAGGAAATTTTGCGAAGCCTAGACGTTTTGAGGCAATCCTGGGGTCAAAGAGACAACAAAACATTTACATTAATGACGAGTAAGAACTGGCATAAATCTAGAAGATATAATTAAAAGAGAGACGGCACTAGATGAACTAGAAATCCGTCAACCAAGTGGTGAATAAAACGAGTTGTCCAGCAGTCATTCTACGAAGTAAATGCTACCAGGACCTGTATGGATTGGCAGTACTCTTCATGAGTTTTATATGCAAATGCTCGTAGTCTGATTATCAAGTTCTATGAATTAGAAGTACTAGTGGACGAATCAAAGTTACTCATCGTAACTATGACCAAACTGTGGTTAGTTCATGACTTGGATGTTACTCTAGAATTATCGGTGATCAACTGACCATGTATCGATACGAATAGATGCCGGAATGGGGATGAGGTCCATTGATACACAAGTAGTAATATAAACATCCGCTCCTCCATATATAAATCCCATGACAATGGAGCTCGTAAAGTCACTGGCTGTGAACTTACATTTGAATGCCATACATCTATACTCGATATCATTGATAGTAGCTCAATCTGGTTGGTTGATTGCTTTGTATTCCAGCACATTCATCTATGGAGTAAAAGTGGTGGATATCTGAAGTAAGAAGATTTTAATGCACCTGATATCAGTCCGACTGAGATGGACACTGTAGTATCGGAAATCTTTGATAGTAGGCTCCTGACAAATGTAAATCAGCATGCTCCAGTAACATAACCAACTATGCACTCTCTGAACAATGCAGACCCACTTAATGAGAGACTTGAAACTCCGGTATAGCCTTAATCAGTAAGGTTAGGACTTAGTATGAAGAACAAGTAGGTTAGAAAATGTAAAAATAGCCCAGAAAAGTTTGCACTCTAATGCAAAGAGGCGAACTGAGAAACGAAATGCAATGTCATTACTTTTCATACACGCAAATCCGTCAGCCAACAATTATTGCTGGTCATGACAGCCTGTCGACGGATCCTGTGTTCACCGAGAAAGAAACTCTCCTACGAATACTGCAACTTCTCGAACCACATAGTTCCAGTGGTCCTGACGACACTCATCCTGATATTATGAACGTTCTGTTGGATGTAATTGCTGAACCTCCTCCCATACGGTTTAATGTATCATTCAGATAATCCAGACTGTCAAGATACTGGAAGTACACACTCATCAGTCAGGCATATATGATGGGGAACAGACACTCAGCCAGCCACTATCCACCAGTTTATCTAACCAGTGTGGTTGTCAAACTATTGGCAAGGATTATTCGGGTATTAATTCTGAACTACATAGGAAGGGTGATCTTTAGCCGGTAAACAGTACAATAGTAGGAAAGGCTTTTCATGCTTGGCAAGCCCGCTCATTCAGGAAAATATTGATCTGCGGTGAAAGATGGTAATATCCCGGTAGATTCAGTTTTCAACGATCCATATAAACTCTTTGACGAAGTCTCTCATCTGGGTCTTGAATTAAATCTGAAAAGATTTAGAATCCGTTATGAAATCGTGAGAAGGATAACGGACTTTCTCAGTTATAAGAGACCGGATGCGTTAGAACGGTGCTTTGTCAACTAGATAATCTGTGAACAGTGGAGTTCATGAAGACAAGATCTTCGTGAAAAATCGTACATGGAGGAGAATTGATGGACACGTTCAAAGTAAGACCGGTTTCAGGCTTTCTCTTTATCCTGGTGATCGACTGGATCATGAAGACATCAATATCTTTGGGAAGCATATGTTTATTGGACAGCTAGAATGCAGCAGTAGGCCTCAACATACACAAAGGGAAATGCAAGATTATCCGATACAACACAACATTCAGCAATCAATCACACTTGGCGGAAAGGCTTTGGAAGTTGTAAAATCTTTCTATATCTGGAACTCAAAACAAACGTGAACCAACACCAAAGTCTGAATTTTCAATACAAATGTTAAGACAGTTTTACTGTATGTAGCGGAAACTTTGAGAACTACAAAATCTCTCATCGAGAAGAAACAAGTGTTTGTTAACAGTTGTTAAACCTATTATAATTGTAACAGTCTATCAGGACACATGTCCATGAATTAAAACTACGACAATTTATCAGCATAATGGAATGTAATTATCAAAAACAGAACACCAACTTTAATCTGCATCGAATAAAATCTTCAAATCTGTAAGAATTGTACAAATAAAAAGCAAAAATTTATCAGAATAAATGATTTAGAAGAATTTACACTTCGCCCAACGTTTTCGAATAGACTATTTAAGGGAGACATTTTGTTAGACAATTCATGTGCAGTTCGTTTCAAGAGATCATTCGATATGAATAAGATAGCTTGTATTAAGCTTTTCGATAAGCACTAAATCGGGGAAGGGGAAGTAGACAAATGTATTGGGTCTTCCACTCGTAGAACTGATTTTCATCGTCGTCATTGCTTTCATTGGTGAGTGCAGAACATTGAGTAGCATTCATTGTGATTCCCTCCTTCTTTGTTTCGAAAGATGTTTTGGTGATCCTGAATTTATGAGATTCTCACCCAATAAGTGTATTTCATGCACCTTTGGACAGCATCAATGCAAATCCCAGTTTGCGCGAAGCATTTTCCTCTTCGTTATCAGGTGTACAGTATCACCTCTCTAGTATTCAATATTTGCTTTCCAGAGTGGGTCTGATGGGTTTCGCCAAGTTTTATCTCCCCAGGTTTGTTGTTATTTAACTGGTCCTCCTGGTCTCTCACATTGTCCGAAATTTCAAAAGAGCATTAAACAAAAACCTACTGTTCTTAGTGAGAGTAAACATATGAAATTGCTTTCGGAAAAAGATGCTCATTCAATCCAAAAAATCCAATTAACATGAGGATAGTAGTTTTGATGCTTAACAAACGATCAAAGTTATATGTGTAACTGAAAGAAGAGAGATCACTGTTCTTTTAAATATCCATATATATATATATATATATATATATATATATATATGCATACCGTATCATCATTTATACCATATCCGTTGTTTTTTAACACTTAAACTCAGATACAAAAAATGTGTAAGCTTGTATAGTACCGTCACAACAATAGTATGTCACGTGAACTTTGAGAATTCTGTATAAGCTTGTCCCCAATTTGAATTTCAAGCCATAGCGCTCTATTTGTCTTCAAGGTGTCTACATGGAGCATTCAGCGGAGGATTTAGTCGCTCAAGGAAGGAGAGATTTAGTGTGTGGTGATATTAAAAAAGCAGTAGATAATTTTCAGAAAGCTTGTGAAGCTCTGTGAGTCTTGATAATGTTGCTTAATTAACAGGTCGGCGATACATGGTGATTTTCATGAAGCTCTTGCTATCCCTAACTTACTGTATGGTACTGCTCTTCTCGAACTATCACGAATAGAAAGTTCAGTTATCGGAAATGCATTGGATGGGAGTAAGTGTCGAATGACTTGGCTTAACGTGATTAGTACCGGATCCAGACAAAGATTCAGAATCGGATGATGGGATAATTGAACCTGGGCCTGAATTGACATGTAAGTCGGCACGTGATATCTCACTTTTGTAGCTGAAGAAAAAGAAGATATTTCCAATCAAGTCATAGATGCTATGTGTGAAGACAGAAACCAGGAAGACAGTGAAACCAAAGAAGCCGATAAACCTAGTGATGACACTGAAGCTGAATGTAGAAATGATGCTGCTAGTGATAATCCAACGGATGACGCTGTTGAAGAAGCTGAGGATGATGAATCAATTGTATCTGAGGGGGAAGATTCTGAGAACCATGATGAAGTCCAGAATAATCCCACGGAATCGGAAGCTGCTAAATCTGATGATGAAGATGAAGTGACGAATCTCCAAATCGCCTGGGAGGTTATTGAAGTAGCCAAAAAACTGTTTTCACAAAAAGATGACGAGGAGAGTAAACTGAATGTTGCCGAGTGCCTAGAAAAGCTTGGTGAGATTAGTCGCGAGAAAGAAGATTATGATCAAGCAGTATTAGACTTAAAGGTATTTTTTTTGTCCATTCTTACTTATTCTTTAACTTGAACGACAAAACATACTGCATAGGTTGCCTTATCAAGAGATATCCATAAATAGTAGGTTCGTCAAGTCAACGATTTCCGGCTTGGGATGCGTTTATTTGAGTTTGGTTAAGTAATATAGCTCTCATTTGATCTTAGTCCATTTCTAGGGATTACTTACGTTGTTTGTACTCTTAGGTCATGGATTAGTTATTTTACGTCTATCGATGTGTAAAGAAGCGGTATAAAGTTTAATTGGTTTTGGCCAGGGAATATCGTTGGTTTTTGCAAAACTGATAATGGTTGTAATGCAGTCACCATTCAACCTACATATAGCCTCGTTCTAGTCAGTAATTCGTTTACAGTGCATAGGATTCCAAGTACTTGTTAAGATAATAACATGTTTGCTATAGCGCTGCGATATCACGACTATACATTATGAGGATATCTCAAAATTGTCCGTGTGTATTTTGGCTTCCTAGGCATCACTTCACATTATTCTGGGGTGTTCGTAGCCTATTTTACCATCTTGTAAACTAATGAAAGGTTAAGCTTACAAATGTTTTTGTTCTATTCTATCATCTGGAAGATGCAGACTACTCAGTTGGGGTCCACGTGAATATCGTAACCAATGGTTGGAGACTGGGTGACATCGCTTAGAATGGATCACAGTCGCGTCGGTGTATACACTCTTTGTCTTCCCTTAAACTGAGAGATTAAAATCACTTCATATCTTTCTTTCTACGTACTAAATCTTTCTTCCTATACTATGTCATTATATGCAATCTTTCTTTTATATATTACCACCATTGACTTCACCATTCCTATGAATCCGGTGTTCATCTTGTTGTGCTAATGAGGTATGGCAACTTGGAACAATGCATATATATTCCTGGTCCTACGTTGTATCTGACTTGTTGAGCTCTATCAACCTGACCAACTGTTCATTTGCGTTCCATCGTGGCATCTATGTTTAGTAGTGAATTTTTGTAAAAAGCAGCAAATACCAAATCTAAAGTTTGGTATTTTAATCTATTGAGGTGTGGCAACTCACATGGCTTTGACCCGTGAAGGTCAGTAATTTTTGGTCTAAACATCCGAGCTGTAAATTAGATTATGTTTATTGGATGCTCATTATTTCCAGTTTAAGACTTCAAGAGTGGATAAAAAGCTACTGATCCACAACAAATTTGAAGTTTTTAAGGGTCATTTCTTCTAAAAAGTTTTAATACGAGACTATATAAGAAAAGATTGCTCTGTTGAATCTAAAACTGTTAGTTTTGAATACAAACCAGAAATATAGTCGGACGACAATGTAGCAAGTAATCTGTATATATCATGACGGTTTCGAACTGTGATTTTCATCCAAATTACATTTTTCTGATTCCTCTGTTTTTCCATAGGAATGTTTGGAAATCCGTACTTCCATTTTGGGTCAAAAAGATCGTCGTGTAGCTGAAAGCCATTACCAACTGGGAACGACGTATGCCGTTTCTGGTGATTTAGGAAACGCAAGCAGCTCTTTTAAAGCCTCAGTTGAGTGTCTCAAGTTGTTGGCTGAAGATATCAGGTCAAAAATCGAAGCTGTTGACCAGAAAGATGGAGAAGAAAAAGAGCTTCTTCAAGTTACACTTAAAGAGATAGAGCTTTTAATACCAGACGTTCAGAGTCGGTGTGCAGATATTGAGGAAGACCGATTAGCTGAAAGCATTAAACAAACTGAGTCCCCAATGGAACCGTGCTCTAATGGTACTAGCGTCCCAACTGATGACATATCACACTTGATAAGGAAAAAACGTCCGGTTTCTGATACGACACCTGTGGAATCTGTAGAAAGTATAGGTCTTGAATTAAATGGCCATGGAAACTCAACTTCCAAGAAAGTAAAGATTATAGATGCGAATGGTGAATCCCTGCCTAACGAAAACGGTGTTTAGTTAATTGATGTATGCTTCTAAATTAAAAACCAATTCCAAAGAACTGCATTTCATTTTTACAGATTTTGTCAAATTTTTGTCTATCGTTTTTAAATAATTTATCTGCAGATTACTTATTCCAAAAATAAAGTTCATGTATTCCCTTTGATGTATTATCCTTCTGACAAGCTTAACGAGTTGGTTGAAAAAAATTTTTAATTATAGATATAAACCGAGCAGAAGAATTTATAACTGATGGTCACATTTCGTGATCTCCCGTAGGACCACGCACATATATGCATCGGTCCAAGTTGCCATACCTCATTAGCACAACAAGATGAATACCGGAATCATAGAAGTAGTTAGTCTAGTGGTGGTAATATACAGAAGAAAGATTGCATGTAAAGAGAAAGTACAGGAAGATAGAATTAGTTCGTAGAAAGAAAGATATGAAGTGATTTTAATCTCAGTTTAAGGGAAGACAGAGAGTGAATGTACCGACGCCATTGTGATCGATTCTGGGCCATGTCACCAAGATTCTCCAACCATTGGTTACGATAGTCACACGGACCCCAACCAGGTAGTCTGCATCTACCAACATGGCTTAAACCAGAAGTTAGTGTCTTCAAACACTGATCCCACGTTTCGGTCTGGGCGCTCCTAACTTGCTTCAAATTATCCCTAACACCAGTGAGCATTGTGCGTCGTGGTAATCGGTGTTCAGGCATACGCAGCACGTGGCTCAACCATCTCAGTCGACGAAGATTCATAACCTCAACAACTGATTTACCATCATTTCCTAATACCCTGCATCTAACCTGACTACTACTTACCCGGTGATCCCAGCAGATGCGAGCAATATTTCTAAGGCATCTGTGGTCAAATACTTGTAGCTTACGAGTATCTTCTACTCTTAGTGGCCATGTTTCGCAGCCGTATAGTAGAACGGAACGAACTGTCGCGCAATATACTCGACCCTTAATTGATAGAAGGATATCTCGCCTGCGCCATAGGTGACATAAGTTGGCGAAAGCCAAACGAGCTCCCCGAATCCGTGCTGAGATTTCGTCAGACACCAACCCATTAGGGCTGATCAGACTTCCAAGATAAGTGAAGTTGTCAACCCGTTCGGCTACTTCACTCCCTATCCTTAGTTTGGGTGTTGATGCAGACCAGTCCTGAAGCAACAACTTGCATTTAGAGGGAGAGAAGCACATCCCAAACATTCTGGCATTGTTGCTCAGTGCTACCAGAAGACTGCATTTTATCAGCGTCTTCACCAAACAGGACTATGTCATCTGCGTATTCTAAGTCGATAAGTGGGCCTCCTTGTAGGAGATCAATGCCCGAGAATTCAGTCGATGAGAGCGTTATTTCCATCGGGAGGTATATGATAAAGTTAAACAAAAATGGAGAAAGTGGACAGCCTTGACGGACACCACTTGAGGTTGTAAAAGCAGATGACAGTTCGCCATAAGCTCTGACTCGACTAGTAGTGTTCGAGTAAAGAGCCTTCACAAGGTTTATGTACTTCTGAGGTACGCCTTTCAATGACAGACACTGCCACAGAACCTCTCGGTCAAGAGTCAAATGCTGCTTTTAAGTCAAGTATGCCTGTGTTCTAGAACCTAACGAATGGTGAATATGTGGTCTACGCATCCACGACCAGGTCTGAAGCCAGCTTGATTCTTTCGTGTTTGTAGTTTACGAGTCTTGGTCAGCCGTCCGATAATTATCGAGGCTAGTATTTTAGATACTATATTAGTCAAACTAATCCCTCTTTGGTTGTCACAGGATGATTTTGACCCTTTCTTATATATTGGGACGATAAGTGATTGTGACCAGTCAGAGGGGATTATGTCCAACTCTCAGATTTTAACTAAAATATTAGTCAAACTAGTCGCTAAAATTGGACCACCTTCCTTAAAGACCTCTGGGGCCAATCCATCTGGACCAGCTGCCCTTCCTCGTTTTAGATTAACTATAGCCTTTTGAACTTCAGCTAGAGTTGGAGGACCTACTTCAATGTTCCATTGACACTATCTGGGAATGGAGGGTAGTTGTAGAATAGCTGAAGGCCAGCTGAACTGTTCCTTAAAGTGTTCCGCCCATCGTTCTAAACATCTGGGCTGGGAGCAGATGAGAGTGCTGTTTTTTTCCGAAATAGTCTGACTTACACTTGAATTTTTAATTCCAGTTTCTTTTATTAGTCTGTAGAGTTATCTTGTGTTCCATCAATAGATCTATTATGAAGTTTAACAAATATAAAGAAAGTGGACAGCCTTAATGGACACCACTTGAGGTTGCAAAAGCAGATGACAGTTCGCCATAATTTCTGACTCGACTAGTAGTGTTCGAGTAGAGTCTTTTCCATCTCTTTTGTTTTCGTTGCCCAACACTACTTACGATCATTCCTTAGACTTTTACTTAACCTAGATCTGATTTGCTTTCATTCTTTATCGTGTTCAGATCCTGATGGGATGAGTTTACGCGAATCCATCAGTGCAATAGATCTTGAAGAAATCCATTGGTTGTTTGTAACCCTGTGGTTTAAATCACTAATTGATGTCACTGCTGTTTCCACAGCTGATTGTATAACTTTCCAATCAACATCTGGATCAGCCTCGTTATCAGAACTACCTAAGTGTGACCTCAGTTGTTCTTGGAACCTACTTTTGGTTTTCTCGTTACTCAGTTCAGTTCTAATGGGTCTTTTTAATGTGGCTTTTTTGCGTCCAGTGAGGCGCAAGCAGATGCGTGCTCGTATTAGGGCATGGTCAGAGTCCAAGCAGGTACTCCAGAATGAGCGACAATCTTCTATCGACCCTCTCCAACGATGACTGATGACAATATGGTCTATTTGAGTCCATCGTTGATTTGGTGCAGGGGGTCGCCATGTTAGACGATGTCTCTCCTTATACTTAAAATTTGTGTTTGCTAAAAATAAACGATTGTCTGAGCCAAGTTGCAGCAGACGATCACCATTATCTGTTCGCTGTGCCGGAATACTAAAATACCCACCTAAATGTCTTTCTGTTTCGTTTAAGCTACCTACCTGGGCATTAAAGTCGCCTGCTACGAGTACCATGTCGGAACGCTTAGCTTTCTGAAGAAGTTCAGACAGCTTTCTGTAAAATTCATCTTTCACTTCATCCGAACTGCAGTCAGTGGGAGCGTAGGCAGAAACGACGAAAAGGTAACGACGTGTGTCCCTATCCTTCTGAGTTCTTACGGAGCCGTTTAACCGAACAGCGCATAGACGACTATTAACGGGGATCCACTCTAATAGCGCTTGTTCTGCCCTTGTACTTAATGCTATGCCTACACCTGCCAGTCCACGATAAATAGCCGTTGGGTTGCCAGATACACAAAGAGTGTATCTCGTCAGCTCTCCGTTTAGCCGAGGTGAGGTCAAGTGAATGACCACGCTAGGATCCTGTATGCGTGTTTCGGAGACACAGCATACATCAATCGTACGAGATTCTAGAGTCTCAACCAAGGAAGCCTGCTGACTGATTTGACATAGTGTGCGTACGTTGAAGGCTCCAATGTGTAGTTTGGAGCGAGGTTTCAGTAGATCTGGGACAGTGTTTTGCGCACTAGAATCGCTGGCCATGGTGACACTTGAGGAGGAAACCAAAGGAGGAAGCTTAGATTTGAAAGTCGATGTAGGAGGAATAATAGGAATTGAAGAGGGAGTTTGATTATGAATACAGTGGTCTTGAGTGCTGTTAGAGGTATGAGGGCGGTTATCACTTCCTGGTTGCCCACACCGTGGAAGGGTTCTCCTGGAGGTACCTGAAAAGAAAATTGGGTTAGAGGTGGTCATAGTGACCTGAGAGCGTGACTGCAGTGCCCAAGGGACAGCTGCTTGAGGTCGGTCACACACGACCTTTTTATGAGTAGTTTTTGTGTTAGCTCCGTACTTGTTGAGACCTTATCGCCGGAGACAGATATCCGCAGTATAGGTGAGGTGTGCATTTTTAGGGTCGACCTTTTCTAACCCCACCACTCCTTGTGGGAAGGCGGCATTGCTGTTATGCTGGTTGTCTGAAGGAAACACATTACTGCTGTCACACCTCTATACAGTCAGCAGTACGACTTCGCCTTCGGATCTTGGATTTGTTGCTTTTAGTCTTACCGTTCTTTAAACGACCTGTCTGGCATGGTAGGACGTTGAGAAACTGTTGTTCCAGCCAGTGTAGCTCAGTTGCTTCATCACGATAGGCAAGCCCGACCACCACGTCAAGGTAGCAACAACGGTCGGGTATCTTCAGAACTGTTACTTTCTGTTGATGGTGTAAGACGTAGAAAGGAGTCCTAATGTCCGAAGAATATGTTAGGACTTTATGAGAATCTGATACAACTTCAAAGTTTGGCAGATCACAGCAAACTAACTCTTGAGATTGTGGGATGTCCGTTGGACCCGCATTCCAAATTAAATTCAAATTGGACAGTCTCAGTAGGAAAGATTTAGGTGCTTAAGTCTATGCGATCAAATGCTGTGGCGAAAGGGGCTCCAGCCAGCCGTATATTAGCGATTTTGTAAGCCAGTTCGGTTGTGGAAGGGCGATATTTTGCATCACAATCGAAGACAATAAAGTATTTGGAGTCAATCCAAAAACGGGCCTCAAGGTTACTTCGTCGACTAGGGTTCAAATCCTACGATCGACTATGAGATCACCATACATTTCGGAATGTGAGTTATTCCTTGTGGTCTACAGCATTATAAGGACACCTGGATTTCTGAACTACTTGGGTTAAGTTTTGGTAAAAGACATGGAAGCGACACCCGCAAGTTTGGAGTGACAGTTTTCAACCGGTAGTTTTTTCTGATTGCACATAGGAGACCTTACTCGTGGTTCCGCAGGCACCTGTTGCCAAAGGTACAAATGGTAGTGAACTACTAGAGGATCTGATGAAGATGTTGGCAGATGCAGACAACCTGAAGCTGAAAAAATCAATGAACTATCCTGCAAGACACAAAGATCAATATACACAAGGCCAATGTAAACACCTATCTCGGCAACCGAGTATCCTGCTCATCTAAAAGTCACGCTCTATTCTGAATAAAAGTCGGATTATTTAGAGCTTCAGTTGTTATAATCGTGCGTGTATTACGTGGAAACTTGATGTGAGCGATATCCATATTTCAAGAAGAGTCCTGCTACAAATCTGTCGCGCTTATGGACCTTTCAAGAAGCTTGTTAACCATTAATAAGGCGTTGTATCAATAATAAAAAAAAGGAGATAACGGGAAGTACATAATATTAGCATTTAAATTTAATTGGTTCTTATTATATTTCAGGAAGATTAGGTTGGTATAACCAAGTGTTTTGTATTCGATAAAGATAATCCAATTATCACTTCAAGAATTTAACAAGTATCGTTTGTTATTTCGAGCGATGATTGCTTTTTTCTTGAAAAATAGATTATCTATTTTAGACGCTTCACTACATGATATGTATTTCACTAACGACATCCTACCCTATTCTGTAGTTTAACAACATTAAGCAAGTTACCTATCACTACAGTGGAAAGCCATTACGTAATTTGTTTTCGAACAAATACTTCCAGGTTACAATCGAGACAACACATTATTTTACATAAAATGATCGGAAATTCCCAGGGTAGCTATTTCTACCTATATATCATGCTTTTTATCCTACTCTAATATCAAGACAACTAAATAGCTGGTTTAGTTCCCTAAACAAACTGTTATGATGAATTAAATTAATGGTTGAAAATGTAACGTCCTATTATAAATTTCGGTTTCATGTTGATCGACAAGATATATCTCTAATCCCCAAGAATCTGGTGTTCCCAGTGGGATAAACTCTGAGTTATCCATTAGGATAATCAGTCTCATCAATGAAGCTATGTATTAGTAATGAGTGTCAGCTAGAAAGAAATCTGAGCCAGTCAGCTACAACGTAGGACCAGGCATATATATGCATCGTTCCAAGTTGCCATACCTCATTAGCACAACAAGATGAACACCGGATTCATAGGAATGGTGAAGTCAATGGTGGTAATATATAAAAGAAAGATTGCATATAATGACATAGTATAGGAAGAAAGATTTAGTACGTAGAAAGAAAGATATGAAGTGATTTTAATCTCAGTTTAAGGGAAGACAAAGAGTGTATACACCGATGCGATTGTGATCCATTCTAAGCGATGTCACCCAGTCTCCAACCATTGGTTACGATATTCACGTGGACCCCAACCAGGCAGTCTGCATCTACCAACATGGCTCAGACCAGAAGTTAGTGACTTCAAGCACTGATGCCACGTTTTGGTTTGGCCGCCCCTAACTTTCTTCCAATCATCCCCCACATTAGTCATCATTGTGGATCGTGGTAATCGGTGTTCAGGCATACGTAACACGTGGCTCAACCATCTCTGTCGATGAGGATTCACAACTTCATCAACTGATTTACCATCATTCCCTAATACCCTACGTCCACGTGATCAGCAACAATTTCAGTTACCGATACAGAATAGACGATCTATGTTAGTATTACATTAATCAATGTGAAAATTCGATTGTTTGTTAACAAGCATAGTTACATTTATAAAATGAATACTTGAATAAACATAATACTGTTCATCACAGTCAATGTTGATAATAGCAATAAAACTCTTCATACTTTATAAAAAATGGACTAGCTACTTAAGTAATAATAATCCGTGGAATTCTTTCAGATTTTAGGATACTTCAAAAGAAAAACAAACTTTTTACAATATCTTATTGTATATTGCTGTTATCAGTTCATTAACTAGAAAAAGCATTTGTATATTTAATATCTACAATAAAATTTCTAGTACATATATACCTAGTGAGAAGTGAGTAGTAATTTTTTTCATAGTTTGAAAATTTTCATCAATGCTCACCTAAAATCCAATACGGAATTATATCGAAATATCTTTATTCACCTATTATGAATTGATATTATTTACTCTTAAATTGTATAAATTTTCTACACTAATCATCTTAGTAAACATTAATTGCTATGTATCACAGTAATAATACCTCTTTAGATTTTCACTTATTCCTCAAACTAGTTTATTGAAAAACTAATTAAGTAGAATATATATATTCCAATTATTACATGGAATGAATGTTTATTTCACAGTACATTATGGATTTACATTTTATATCCGGTTAGTAATATAATAAAATATTCGATTATTAATAATAACTACCTATAATATTCAAAACTGATGTAAACTATTCATTCAATCCATACACCCCTTTTGTTGTTGTTGTCCATAACATTCGTTAGATATTAAAATACTACATATCTAGAATTAGTTCCTTGAATTAAGAGAAAAAAGAACACTTATAAAATAGTCATAGACATATGTATTTAATATTAATATACAACTATTTTAGTTGTTCATTATTAATTTGTGATAAAATGAAGAGATTACTCCAAAATTTATTATTATACATATTATACTGTATATATTTAAATTATTGTTATGCTGATTTACATGGTGAAAAATTAAGTAAATCTGAGTTTGATACATGTGTTCAAGAATGTGGTAATCAATATGAAGAATGTTCTAAAGCAATACGTGAATTATGGAGAAATTTTCAAAAAAATAAAAAACAAATTATGAAAGTTATGAATAGTTGTTGTTTACGTGGTCAAGGTGATCATTCACAACCATCAACATTAAGTTTTGCTACATGTGTACGTGATAGATGTGGTGCAGAATTATGGGGGTAAGTAATTAAAACGATTCTTCTTTATATATTTTACAAATATATTCATATAAAGGAATCAATTTTATTGGTCTCATTATATACATTATAGTCTATTATGCATTGTTATTCACTTGTAATGCTAAAATTAATTTATCTCTTCTTATTCAAGTTTACTTATATGATCCATTTATAAAATAGATTTCTTTAACTCAGTTAGTGTCTATTTCACTAATATTTTTATGATATTTTGACTTTAATAATAAAGTCAATGTGGTTAAAGGCAATTTATATTAGTACTGTAAATGTTCATAACAGCACTTGATGAAAGTAATGCAAGCTACATTAAGAAAGTATGCCATACTTTTATGTATGATAGATTTAATCTAGGGCAATGTTATTATTTTTTAATAGTTTCGGGGAATAAAGTTTTAATAAATTTCTTCTAAAATCAAAGTATCCTGTTTCATATGGGTAATCTTGGTATCCATAAGAATCAGATTGATCAAACAATTAATAGAAACACAGAGATACTAAATAAAATGAAGATTTTTTTATAGGAATGTAAGAGTGTTTACCAAAATTAAGCATTAAGTTATGAATAAAAGCAAGTTCTAATGTTATGCGTTAATCGTATGTAGGATTTTTTAAATGTAAGCGAATGGAATATCAAGGTAACCGCTCAATCAAACCAAACTTCATCATACACTAATAATTTCAGTCATGAATATGAATAAAGTAGAAGTTCGCATTCTTAGAACCGATAAGTCCTGGAAAGGATGACATGATTTTTAGCATTATTATGTTATATTATGGAGGCATTGCCTCTTTATTATAGTATTTGTGATATCAAAAGTTTTGATAGAATTTTGTTCTCTGAATTAGGTGGTCTAATTATGAAATAATCGTTGCTTTCTGAACGATACCATCATTACAAATATCAAATAGAAAGTATATGACTGTTTACGTAAAACCAATAAGAAATAAAGGAGAAATCCGCTACTTGTTTGAAAACTATGGTAGATATAATGAAGTAAGAATATAGGAGAGCTCATAAGTAGTATTGTCTTACTGTAATTAATATTTATTAAATATATTCATAGAACGTGTAAATTTATGTGAGAAAATTACATAAACTGTTTTAAAATGTTTCTTAATCAGTCCAATAAATTTTGAATTCATTACCATTTATTATCTGCATATATATGCGTATTGATAATTGTAAGAAGGAACATTTAACCTGAATAAAAATTAATTATATGAACAATCTAGTTTAATAAATATCAGCCACTCACTAGTAACTTCTCTTGTTAAGAAACTTCTTAACTTTATAGTTCAAAATAATGAGTTATGGCTTTAAACAAGGAAAACTTATCGAGTATTATTGACCGTTAATGATACTAGATGATAATCTTTCTCTATTACAAATAGACTAAATTGAAAAGTGATGACTAGTCAGTAGCTATCCGATGATTTCTTTATCGAGGGATAGGAATATACTTTGGTTATAACTTTGTGTCAGGTTAAGTTGTTGATAGGGTTCAAGTCAAGATAAAAGCAACTAACCAGTATATTATACTTGTTGTAACCATCTTATTGACTTCTGTCTTAGTATATCCTGATACTACCAATATCTTTAGCTTCTAACTTTAATATTAGAACCAGACATCTCGATAATAAACTGAATATTAGTTCCAATTAAAATAATACTAAAGCGGACAGTTATTAAAAATAGAATGTTTCGATACAGAATAAGTAGTCTGTATGTCTAAAGAGTCTTGGAGATACAATCAAAGTCTTTAATTATGTTACTTTCAGAAATGAACAACTTTAAAAACTTAATCATTAGCCAAAGACTGCTTTTTTACCATGACAAATGCTTGAATCGTATTTTTTAAAGTTTAAAACCATTTGAAGATTTCCTCTATTTCAAAAACAAGGTTTGGTTGGATTTATATAATGGTTCAAATACTTTGTTTGTTCTAATTTTTCAAAGTATAGAAAATGTTGTATTATAATAAAGCGTTTTGAATGTTTTACTCCAACAGTAAATTAGTGAAGTCAATCATTAGATTATAATGCCCGCGGAAGCTATTCATTTCAAACACAATTATCTTAGATTTTTACTTAGTTACTAGTATTTTAAAGAATTTAATAAATTGTTCAGTCAATAAACGAATCCTGATAGGATTGATGTAAATACCTTGAGTACTGGCTAGGAGTAAAACCTTTATCGAGGTTCAATAATTATACATATCTAAATCTTGATATTGTCCTCACTGGAAAAATATCCAGTAAAAATCAACTGAAATTCTAGTGTGTTATTCATTGGATTATTAAGTCAGTAAACTATCACTTGTTCAATGAGCATGATATATTTAAATATTATTCGTTAAAAGGTGTCTATTATTCTACTGTGGATATTCAAAAGTTTAATAGTGAATTTCCTCTCAAAAAACGAGGTAATATATCAAATAGCCAATTTATAAACAAAGATTCATTACATAGATTCTAAATGTAAACTAATGATTTATAAATAATCTATTACTGTTCTATAAAAATGAGTAAATGGATAGATAAATGGAAGCAGGTTTTTGTGAAACCATGGGAAATATACTTCGTTATTCAAAGCGCATAACAAAAACACATATCATTTATTGTTTCATTAAATATTGCTTTTATTGTAATGAACTGGAAACATCTTTCTTCAATAAAGTCCTTATGAAATAGTCTGTAATTTGTTAATCATAAACGTAACACTAAAGTACCAGGAATTCCTTTATTATGAGAAATTAAAACATAAATATTACAGTCTAATTCTTGAAGTTATGCTATACTTAAAGAAAGGAAACAGAAACTAACTCTTACCAACTGATGACATGTAATCATTTGAGATTTCAACTTTAATTTTTAGTAATAATTTAAAGTTAATTTCATTCACAGGGAATAATTTAAAACCAAGGGGGCTCTAAACAGTTTTTTTAAATTTCTAACAGAGTGTATTCATAACTCCACATATGATCAAATTTCGGACTGTCAGGTTTCTCAGCCAGAACGTTACCTTTATATCACTGAGTTAGGACACAATAGATTATTTTTTCAACTTTAATTAATTCTCCATAGCGTAAGACAATCATCTAATGATATTGCTGATATCTATTTCATGGTTGAATTCAAGTGATAGTGATATCTGGAACAACTCTTTAGTGTGTCCTGATTTTCAAAGTTCCTCTTGTCTGCGATGAATTTTATCTTCAAGTAACACTTGTGGATGCCTCACAGAGCAGACAGAAAAAAATTAATATTTTAACTGCACAAAAATATCTCGTAAGGTAGTAAGTCTAAACTTACACAGTTCTTGAGAAAGTATCCAGGCATACATTCAATAGGTAAGTGGGAGAATTCTGGTTAGGAAATGAGCTGAAACTTTCTATAGAATGGATTTAAGAGCGTTATAATGATACTTTGAATTGTGATATTCATGTTGTGGATAAGCTTGATATTCATCGTTAGCATGAAGACAAAAATTAATCGAGACTGAGAATTCGGATACAAAATCTCAACTTAGTGGTCAGAATATGTTATACTTACTACAATACCCAATAGTCTCAGGTTCGATACTTCGTAGTGTTATGGGCGATAAATTATAATTATGATAAATAATACCTCAAAACGATTGTTTGATAACAGACTTTTGAAAAAATATATACAAACAATTTAAGAGAACAAACTCTGAGATCAGCTTGATTTGTCGCTGACTGACCTTAATTAGGATACGACTGAAGATCATAAATTACTAGATAGATGTTTCGTCGTGGTATGGTGTTCCTCAGTATTGCACACCCATAACCTGACCAGAACGAAAAGCCAACTATTAGATTGGCATCCTGCGTATACGTTCCAAACCATGATTAATTTGTAACATACTGGGACATCATCTAATGGCATCAGTGAAGACTTCACTCTCGATATCTCCAATCTACAGAGATCAGGACTTTGTGCTAGAATTTCAGTGACTGATCCCAAAGTAAGTCGTTGGACAGCTTACGAATATAGTATTGATGTAAAGATTTCTTGGAAACTAATTTAATTTTTAAGTATTAGTGTTGAACCGACGATAATAGAGTAATAATGATTCCTAGTTTTTAATGGTAACTAGACTATATTTAATGGGTGACAAATACTACTCAAAAAATAAAGAATAACCAACCAAATTCAATTCTTTATCTCTTTCAAATAACCATTGTATAAGATTTCAAAGTATCATATTTTTACTACTATTTCGTCATCTTTTTTCTTTAGATGTAACATTAAGAAACGTCATAGTGGTTTTCTAACTGAACAAGAAATTGAATATATCAAACAAAAAGAATCTCGTCAAAAAAAGAAAACTTCACAATAAACTAAAAGTATTCTCAAATAGAGAAAATCAATATGTAATGACTTTCAGTTAGTAAACACATTCTAATTGTAACAGTAATATTTCTATGTTTCAATTACAATATTATTTGATGCATAAATTTACGGAAAATATGTATTTACCTTTGTATTAAATGAAAATAGAAAATTATTATCATTTCTATTTTTTTGACTAACCATTGATGTCACCTATTTTCTTGTTAGTTACATGTAAGTGTTTCGTCACGAAAGCCTTGTGAATAAACACCTTTTCAATCAAGATATATTATGTATGAACAGACACTATAAGAATTCGAGTCAACAATCCAAGTCTTTATGTTCATAAGGAATTTATAACACCTTTATCTCGTTCTTGATCTTAATAAATGATTTTCTATTTTTATGAAGAGAATATAATTTATGGACAAATCAATCAGATTTAGGATAACTGGTTTTGAATTTTGGCGAGAAATTCATTCATCCATTCGTCTAAATAGTGTCTTGGTATTTTAGTTGAAGTCAGTTCGTGATGAAAACCATAAATTTAATCCCTAACCCTAACCATCAACTGTAAATCATTGTCCCTATTCTTTAAACTGCTTTATAACCTTCATTTAGCCCTATTAAGTAGGAAGACAATCTCAAGGTCACTTTGGCGTCGCTCAAATGTCGTCTATAAATTATAGTCTCATCGAATTTTCTAGAGTGATGTAAAATGTTGAAAATAAAATTTTATCTAAATTATCAGATAATACTATCCATACATATGTCAAATTCATTATCTAAAATCCAATAATGAGTATTATAGAAGTATTTATGTGTTATTAGTTATAGTTTGTAATACAATTAAGATAAGTACGTCTAAATTTAAGCTACGATTAAATTCTATCGACAGAAAATTAGTAAACTTAAAATTTCACTAAAGTTGTTTGACAAATCTACTAATTATTAAATAAAACAATTTTAAGATGGTAATTGGAAATGGTGTAGTAATGTGAACTGTATGATCAAAACATGTTCATCCACTAATACAATATGACTAATATGTTTAGTCAAATAATATACCAGAAAACTATATCCCTTATAAGATGGCTGAAGATAGCTATCACAAAGCTATATGCCTTAACTAACTAATCCTTGATAACATTTACTGATATCCCTTTTAAACTCATGGAGTTCAATGGTTTTAGTGTATAACTAGCAGCTTCAACGTTTAATGAGGGAATCACGTAGAATAATTTCCTAGTTTGAGTTCATAGTATGATTTGTGAGGTTCGAAATTCACGGTTTACAAACTTTAGACATTTTTTATTATTAATCTGTAACATCATGTAAACGCTTGTTGAATTTTCTAAAAGTAAATATGCTACAATCAACAAAGTGCTACAAAGTGAACCATCTGTTTTATTCTAAAACTACTTACGAAATTTATATTACAAGAAAAGAACAACAAGTATTACTTTCTATGATTAGCTTTATTTAAACAATTATGAAAATAAGCAAATAGGAAATACAATCAGAACCAATTGTATATCAAGTCATTTATATGATAATTTCTTTGAAGTCGTTGAAATATTCCAATCCAGTCATTTTTTTTCGTATACTGATTACATATTACTAAAACAGAAAGGAGAAGTGTACAATTACAAACTTATTTCTCTTCAAATAAAATAACGATAAACATGGAATCAATAGAAAGAATGTATAGCGTTTAATAGATGATTTGTGAAGACGTTATAATATTAGTACTGTAACACATATTCAATTAGCCCATTGATCGATCGAGAATCAGATGGGACCAGAACAAGCGTGTATTATGAGAAAAGTACAAAGAGTAGAGGTAAATATCACAATATAGATATGTACTATATCAAATATGTTTGTTTGTACTCATTGGTCAATTACAAGCTAATCAGGATGGACAAAATAAAAAAATTAGTTTAAACTGAAGATAGTTGTTTTTGTTTTCAAAGTGATATCAACTAAAGAAACATTGTAAATTATGATTGCTATAAATCAAGTAGTTTCATACTATGAACAGATCAATCTTCTATTTTTAATTAAAAGTTTGGTTTAATCTGCTTACTTATTAATTGATGCTAAATAGTGTAAAAAATCTCATTTTAAAAGTTGGTTGGCAAGACAAGTAACTTAAGGTTTATTAAATTATACAAATGTAGATGTAATTCAAACAAGAATAGAGTTAAAGATGACATAGATCTACAACTATTTGTAATGAACATCAAGTATTTAAAACCTTTTGTTATTTCTTATTTTACATATTGTAACACTGAGATAGTCTTTTCACATCGAAATAGTTTTCCCTATTGTCATACAAATTCGTTAGAAAAAAAATTATAATGCAGGTGTACGGTTAAGATTATTTACATATATGTATATTCTGGAGCTCCGCCTGTAGCCATTCAAAGGATACTGAGCGTTCCAGGTCTGGATAAAAGAGGAAGGTTGAGCATGAAGTTAGCAACCCCATACTGTAGAAAAAAAAATTTGCTGAAAAAACGCTAACAAGAAAACAACCAAACCTTTTAAAATAAGTTTTGGGAGTTGAAGGATCTTCATTTAGAATAATGACGCCTCACAGTCAAAACCGAGATTCTTCGAAAATCACGAGGCCGATGCCACTTCTGATGATCACAGAAACAACCAATATATGTATATGGAATGTCCGGACAATGTAGGAGACTGAGGGGACCAATCAAATAGCTATGGAAATGAAGATGTACAACTTGGCTTCGGAAGAGGTACTACTGTACTTTGGTCATGAAGAAAATACCTCGCACACACAAGAAGTTGCGTTGACACTATCCAAAGAAGTACGAAAAGCACTTAAAGGAAGGCAATCTAGTGGATTCAGAAACTTCAAAGCATTCTTCAAAACAAAAAAGGACGGGATCACAACGAATTCCACGTAGTGTTATGCACTCACCAGTGATGGACATGACGATAAAAATTAGTTTAATGAGAGGGTGCAATGTATCGAAGAGAAGTGCACAGGAAAAGACATGTCTATCCAGATGGGAGATCTAAACATCAAAGTTGGGATAGACAACAACGAATATGAAGATGTTATGGGACGACATAGACTGTAAGAAAGCAGTGAGAATGTTGGTATATATGCAAATTTATATGCCTTCAACAAATTGGTTGTAAATAACACTATTTTTCCTCACAAACTCACATAAATCTAAATCGGTCTCACCGAATCACACTACAAGAAACCAGATAGACTACATCTGCATGAATAGAAATTTCAGAGGACCTATGGAGGACGTTAGGACAAACATGAGCAGATGTAACAGCAGATCACCACCCAGTTGTGGTCAAGACTGAACTAAAACTAAAGAAGTAATGGACAACCAGCATTGCAAAAGTTTAATACAGTCTTCCGTCCAGATACTGGCAAAGTCAACGAACTCAAGATAGCTTCCTGCAATAAGTTCTAAGCTTTACAAGACCTACTCAAAGAAGAATCTCAATTGATTTGTGTGAGGGCTGTGATACTGCCCAGGTGCCCAAACCGAAGCAGGTGGTTTTCTTAGGGGGCCACACCCCGAGCCTTCGACCTGAACGTCTGACCCACAAGGCAGTGGAGCATCGTAAGGAGATGCAGTCCCATGGTAGCCGGTGACCAACGATTGGTTCATACGCCATTTGTTCCTTCAAGATACTGGAGCCCATGTGCACCATTGGTTTGGGGTCCGGTTAAAGCGCCAGACATTCGCTTTTCGTCCTCTCATTTTCGTAAACAACACCCCCGCCACGTGAAGGCAGTGAGTAGGACTTCCCTGGCAGGGGCTATGTACGTGTGGCCATGTGAGAGCATTTCGAGAAGGAGAGCGGACTCTCCCCACTCTCGGCCGTACCAGGGCATTTGGGGGCAGATTCGAACCCAGGACCGATCAGTCTCGTGCGTGAGCGCTTAACCACTAGACCACTGAGCTGAGATTCGTGTGGCGCATATGTACTTGGTGCCTCCTTGTACCAATACCTATGTGTTAAATAAATAAATAAACTCAAAGAAGAGGAAACTACTATGAAGAATAAATGGAAACGGACTAAACAATCACTAACTTCAACTTGTCAGGAGGTTCTGTGCCGCAAGAAGCATCATCATAAGGAATGGATCTCTATCGAAACCTTGAACAGCATTCAAGAAAGGAAGAAAAAGAAAACAGCGATTAAAGACAACCGAACAAGAACAGAGAAAATCAAGGCACAAACCAAATACAAAGAGGCAAACAAGAGAACAAAGAAGAGCATCAGAGCAGACAAGCGGAAATACATGTTAGATCTGGGGATAACAGAGGAAAAAGCTGCAAGAGAAGGAAATATGAGACAACTATACAGTACAACGGAAAAACTGGAAGAGAATTACAGCAAGCTAAGGTGACCAGTTAAGAGTAAAGAAAGCTAGTCTTATGTCTTATCTCCCTGTCAATCATCACGTGACAAAATCGTTGATCACAACACCGGCTTCTGCGACTCTGTCCCTGTGTTATACGAATGACACGTCACCCAGCACTAGCATCGTTGAGCCAACTCTGAATCCCTATTGATCCTCAATATAGTAGCCTCTCGCCTAGCTCTGCCCGTTGAGTCCATAACACAACGTCCACCTCCACTTTATGAATAATTTATTTCAAACATACTCCGTTCATATGTAAGCAGAAAGGATTGCATCACACTATACAAAAATAAGTTATACAAGATCAAACCAAGGGTGGCTGTGAGTACGGGAGACTGTAACTAATAGATTGTGAATAAATTAAGGTTGGTAAATCGTATAATAGTAGAAAATGGTCAAATAAAAAATTGTGATAAAGGGAATATATATACATATCAGCTAAAGCATTGGAGTCACATATAGAAGTAACTGCAAAGATACTCCACATTTTATTCAGGAAGATTTGGGAAATAGAACAAGTGCCGGCAGACTGAAAAAAGGGATACGTCATCAAGATACCAAAGAAAGGCCTCAGCATCTGTGAGAAATGCAGAGGTATCACATCACTAATAGTATCACGGAAAAGTTCTCAACAATTGTTGAACAGAATGACAGATTAAGTAGACATCCAACTTCGTGATCAATAGACTGGCTTCCGTTGGGATTGGTCGTGTACGGACCAAATAGCGACACTACGGATCATTGTTGAGCAATCATTTGAATGGAATTCCTCACCACACATCTGTTAAGTTCTCTACTCGAATACGCACGAAAAGACTCTTTAACGGATGACACTCGAACGTTATAACCTCCAATCGCTCTCAAGTAAGAAGACGGAAGACGTTTGTGAGCACTTATTGACAAGAATCAAAATATACAATCAAACATGAGTATTTATACAAAATTATATATATATTCAATATTGTCATTTAAAAATTCTTAAACATTCATCAATAAGTTAATCAATTGACTGCTATTCAAATACTTAACATCTGATCGATAAGTTAATCGATAACTTAGTCAATCGGCTATGTACGTGGGTGGCTTCTCGGTGGCCATCCCAACAACATCAACTCCCTTGATCATGAAAAGGTGTTCGACAGTGTGGATAGGAGAACATTATGAAACATTTTTCGACATGGTGTACCTGAAAAAACTGTCGCAATCATACGGAATTTTAGGAAGGACTGCACTACGAAGTCCTGAATGGAGGGCAGCTCATAAATGTATTCCAAATGAAGACCAGTGTTATACAACGGTGCTTGCTTTCACCCTTCCTTTTTCTTCTATTGGTCGAATAGATTATGAAGACCTCTATATATGAGGATTGGCGTGCAATACCATGGACAGGCTGGATGCAACTAGACGGTTCGGGCTTTGCAGATGACCTAGACCTCCTATCCTATACACACGAACGCATGCAGATCAAGACAACCAGTGCAGCAGCGGCTTCTGCGTCAGTAGGCCTCAACATACACAAAGGAAAAAAGCAATATCCTCAAATACAAAACGAAGAACACCAACGCAAGCATACTTGATGGAGAAACTCCGGAAGAGGTGGAAACTTTCACATACCTGGTCAGCATAATCGATAAACAAGAACGATCTGGTGCAGATGTAAGGGAAAAGATTGGAAAGTCAAATGTAGTGATCCCATATATTCTTTAATTGGAACATATGGGACTCAAAACAAATATCAGCTAACATCAAAGTTAGAATCGTCAATACGAAGGTCAAGATAGTTCTACTGTACGGAGCTGAAACTTGGAGAGCTACTACGACCATCTTCAAAAAGTAAAAGTATTTATAAACAGTTACCTATGCCAGATACTCAATATCCATTAGCCAGATACCATCGTCAACAATGTACTATGGCAAATGACAAACCGACTTCCAGATGAAGAGGGAATTAAAGGAAGATGCTGAAGGAGGGTAATACATGCATAGTTGATATCATCAAACTGCACCACAAGACGAGCCCTTACTTGGAATCCTGAAGGCAAAAGATAAAGTGGAAGGCTCAGGCACACGTTGCTTCGGAAATTGGAGGCAGACGTCAAAAGAATTAATGTCAGTTGGAAACAACTGGAAAGTAAAGTCCAAGACAAAGTTTGATGGGGAATACTGGTGGGAATCCTGCAGTTCTCCGCAAGGGGTAACAAGCGTAAGTAATTAAATCTTGATGGTGTACAACATTAAAAATTACTTTTAAATAGGTCTGGTAAAATACAAGTTATGGTGTATGGAGTTTAATTTCAATGTGTAAACGTACTCTATCAGGAAAAATAAACAATGACTTCATCTTTGCTTTAATTACGATTTAAACATTAGGAAGTTGTAATGTTAGCTAATCGAAGACAGTGTAAAATCTGGTATGAATGAGAATCGATCGAAGCTGGTACATGCAAGATAAGTACATGGGTAAAGAAAATTAGCGAGGCGAGAGGTGACAGGGGTAATAACAATACTCACCAAAGTGAAAAGTTGACATTAATAAAATAATTGAAAGTGAATGAATAAGATCACAGATTAAACGGTAAGGGATGAAATGAAGCTCGAAATCTAAGGAGGCATAACGGATAAGTACAACTACATTATCACAATCAATTTTGAAGAATGCAGCTAAGCATCTTGACTCAGAAAGCTGACCCCTCTTCAGTACGACTTTGTCAGTGACGTTAAAAACGAATTCCCTATTTCGGCTTGGTCACTTTTAACCTTATAATAACACATTTCTATGGTATCCAGTGAAGATTATATTCACTGATCGTAATAAGTGACTGTAAAACATTGAACATCAGAGTGAAAAGACAATTTCCCAGACGATACTAAAAATACAATACTATGCCATAAAAGCCCGAACAAATTTTAAACTTACAACTTTGTAGTATGTAGATAATCTTCATATGAAACTCGGCCGTCACAATCTTGGTCAAACTCTCTGAAAATAGTGCGCAGTAGACCAGATGGTAAAGATGGTATGTATCTACTCCATATTTTGTGTAAATCATTTATCATGACAAAGTCTTTTGAGTCTAGATCTAAACAATCAAATGATAATCTATTGTGTTTGTCAATATGTGGAAGGTTATTCTGAAAATGTTTCTGAAGCATTTGGATAGAAGAAAGAAAACTATTTACAATCGGAAAATAAAGAGTTTACAAACCCACAAAATGTTAGACCAATCGGCTCACCATCGGAATTTGATTCAAAAAACGATAAAATACATTTCATCTCTTCTTTGTTCGGTTTTCTCCCATAAAGTTCAATAAATAACAATTTACAGCCTTCTTTGTCCACGTACAATCCATCAGAACAGCTATAATTACTAAAAACTTTATGCAAGAAACTGGACATATTAATGGAGTGGTTCAGATAAAAGATTTTATAAGATTCAGCTAGCTGGTAACAAACAGTTGATGAGGACTTCCTATCGGTCAAACATTATTGTGGGAAAAATCTATAAAATAAATGATGGACAGCAATTTAGAGCACTAGTAAACTAAAACACTAGAAGCATAAACATAGAGAATCACTGTCATACTTCCTAACTACTTAAGAAATTCTTTAAATGTGTTCATGAAATTCGACTCAATATCGCTATTTTTTTATTTATTTTATTTTAACACATAGATATTGGTGCAAGAAGACACCAAATACATATGCGCCACACAGATCTCATTTGATGTGTGTGAGGGCTGTGATACTGCCCAGGTGCCCAAACCGAAGCAGGTGGTTTTCTTAGGGGGCCACACCCCGAGCCTTCGACCTGAAGATCCAATCCACAAGGCAGTGGAGCATCGTAAGGAGATGCAGTCCCATGGTAGCCGGCGACCAACGATTGGTTCATACGCCATTTGTTCCTTCAGGATACTGGAGCCCATGTGCACCATTGGTTTGGAATCCTGTGTCTACCAAAATCGAATCGGTGATTGTCCCAAGCAAGGGATTATTTTGTAAAGCATTTTGATGTAACGTCCATGAGCATTTATGAAGTGTAAACGGCCGTTAAGATCAAAGTTATTAGTACGTCAATTTGTGGAGCTCAATAGATTTATGATACGTGTGTGATTCTTCCTGGTACGCGTACTTGAAAAATTGTTGTGAATTGGCTTTAATTCAGTGTGTTCATAACATAAGAAGCACATATTATGAACCTTAACTTGGATTATTTAAGTAAAAGCTCATTTTTTTAATTGGTCCAGTGGTTAGTTGTAATTATCATTGTTTCTGGGATCTGCTAGTGCATAGCAAGTCAAAGCGCGGAAGGAAATTTGTGAGAGGCTACAAAGTGTTGATATAATACGCATACATAGATTTAGCTACACATCTGGATCTTGCGGTGTGTTCTGCGACACGAAATGTCTTCTCGTTTTGTTTTTAAGTATTCTGCCTATACCATGCTTTGATGTACTGAAACTCTTCCCTCTGTTTGAAGACTGTGAGAGCTTTGAGGCCACTTTCCGCTACATATCTACAAGTAACGTCGTGAGTAGCGTCCAGCACGTTAGGAAATCTGATACATTTCCGTTAGTTTCCCGAGAATCCATGTTTTAAGTCGAGTCGGGTTATCAAACTCTCCAGACACATTGAAAGCTTGACTATCATTAATTATACCTATATTTTGGTACATTCTAGAGATGCTTTTAGTCGCTAACAATGTAACTGTTATCACCTCCTACGTCTCTTTTGTTTAAATTTCTCGATTTTTGTCACGGTGCTACCCCGACTAAACTAGTTAAAATGGTCGTTAAAAATCACTGATGTAATCATTGTTTTTTCGGCGTTAAAGTTGGTATGCAGTGTGACAGCTACAAAGGATGGTTTCACAAAACGTGCACCAATGAGCCATCAACTATATATGGACGTCGCTGAAGACTAGCATAATCTTGGTTATCTAAAGCGTGATACCTCACAAAGTCGATTCTACTAGATGAAGTCAGAGAATTCCCTACCTTGTTAAAGAATTGCCAATCAACGACCAAATACTTTCGATGAGTCTAGCATCAGTCAAGAACAACACTGTATGTGCCACCGCTAATAGTGCATATTTGGGCGTACTAAGAATCAAAAGTTCTTGATTGTTGCAATCAAAATAAACACCAGTCCTAAATTTTAGTTATCCGTAAGAGCTTTATCGACGAATGTTTATAGTCTAAAAAGATCATGAATTACTAGTATTAGTGGATTGATCAAAACTTCTCATTATAGCCGTGACTGAAACTTATTTAGTGCATAATTGTGGCATTATTTCTGATTTATTGTGTTATAGCTTACTGAAGATTGATAGGGAGTACGGTGATAACATAATTAAACGTAGTAGGGATATATGTTTCCTTGCTTGAGTGTCATGGAGGCAAAATTCGTGAGGCAAAAAGTATAAACGCACTTTCACAGATTTCATATTTTTTCTAGGTTCCATCAATCGTACGTAGGCTAGTCCGTTCTATTCATGACTTTGTATTGGGAAAAATTAAGCTTTGAATTAAGAGATGTCTGACATTTAGAGATTTTAATGCAAAAGACATCAGTTGGAAAGATTTGTCCTCAGTCGGATATAACTATATTTTCGATACAGGCTTCTTCAAAATTTGGGTAAGCATGGTTAAGTACGGTATAGGACCAGACGCACATTTGCTGCATAATAACCTGCTTTCCTTAATTTAGCGCTCGCACATTAATCTGTCTGAAAATTTTATCACTACTTACAAAGAGAGATCAGGTAGCTCTGTTATTTTAGGATTAAATCCTATGATAGACTGCAATTGAACTTAACACTGTTCGAACATACATTTTATCAATTAAAAATTGTGCTACTCTAACGTTCTGTGTGATTGATATTAACTATTTTAGTGAAGAGGGTAGTTCAGATTTAAATATCCTCTATTATGCGATGGATAAACCCACGCAAACGAACTAACAGCTTGCCATTTACAACGAAATATGCCATAGAACTTCTTGAGAATAAATGTGAGCATCAAAATATATTCATCTGCGTAGTCACTGAGCTATATAAATTCACTTATTGAGAGACTTAAAAATAGTGAATAAGCTCTCTTTATCAGTTGGAAGTATTTTACAGAGGTAATTTGACGACACTTCATCTTCACTAGTCTTTAACCACTATGACCAGTAGAACCCAGAGCTAAAAGGCACTTCTATTTTCTACTTACGAAAAGATTAATCGCACGTGAAACTCAAATATGTGTTTTCAGCCTGGTGAGCAGTCAAAAAAAAGAAAATATTCAACAATACATAGTGCTTTCACCGAGTAATAATCTTCAAATTAAACAACTCCCCCAACACACCGTTACCAACGTTACAGCGTACAACTTCATAAAAGTGAAAGCCCTTAAAGCTATCTCAGGGTCATGGTGCAGTATCCAATACGTTAGTGGTAAACCTCAGTCTCCCTGACAAGAGAGAAGAGACTTTTAATTCTGAAATTTCAAAGCCCGAGTTGCAAGAGAAAATTCCTGGATGAAAAAAAGACATAGTAGTGAACAACTGGAACAGCGAACTATAAATACTATTAAATGGTTCAAATGGTTGCGGACGGAATAGAAGAAGCTTTCGCTTAACAGGCTTCCGTGTCTAGTAGCAGTGGATCACCAATACCGCCAGGCAAGAACCTAGGTATATTAACGATAAAAGAGAAAGAAAATGAATTGGTAAATCATAGTAGGATACTATCCTTAGTCCTTAAGAATAGATCAAGTCGCCTCTTAAAGGACTCCTGGGAAGTTGCTTGGACTAGCTCAGCTGGCAGCGAGTTCCAGCATTTGACAACTCTTAAGGAGTAGAAATTGTGTCTGCAGTCCGTTCTACTATGTTGTATCTCCAGTTTTTGGGTGTTACCCCTTAGGTTAGTGTTGGGACTAAGCTTAAGTAGGTGTTTAAGAGGGTGTCCAGGTGTGTTAAGGATACTGTAAGCCATTAGAATGTCACCTCTAAGACGCCTATACTCTAATGGGTAAAGGTCGAGTGATTGGAGGCGCTCATCGTAAGGTTTAAATTTGAGTCCCCGAACTGATTTCGTGGCTCGCCGTTGGATACGCTCCAGAGTGTCCTTATCCTTTTGGAGTGTAGGAGGGAATACTATGTTCCCGTACTCTAAATGGGGACGAATGAAACTATTGAAGATTATGTGAAAAGTTCTCCCGTCAAACTGACCAAAAATGCGCTTCAATGTTACCAGTGCAAGGTTTGCTCTAAAGGCATTTTTGTCACAGTTGGCGTAAGACTTTAAGTCGTAGGGCACCAGAACTCCTAAATCTTTTTCGACTCGGGATACTACTAGAGAGGAGTTTCCTAAGTTGTAACTGTAATCTGCGACGTGTCGCAGATGGACTACTTTACACTTTGAAGTGTTAAAGTTAAGTCCGTTGTTGTCTGCCCAACTTTGAAGTCGAGTCAGATCCTCCTGAAGTGCCTGTATGTCCTCTTGGTTGCGTATCTCTCTCCAAAGTTTCACGTCATCGGCAAAGAGCAATAAGTCTGACGTTACCTGTTGAGGAAGATCATTTATATAAATCAGGAAGAGGAGAGGTCCTAGTACTGAGCCCTGGGGGACCCCACTAGAACATTCCATAGCGCGTGAGAAATTGAAGTTTACCCTGACCTTAAAATGTCGACTTGTGAGGTATGAACTGAGCCAGTCAATTAAAGGTGGTTTGATTCCCAATTGTTTGAGCTTGTTAATAAGACATGTGTGGTTAACCCTATCGAAAGCTTTAGAGAAATCAAGGTAAATGATGTCTACCTTCCCCTTGCGATCAACGATGCTTGTCCATCTGTCCACCGCGGTCAGCAGGTTCGTCATACAGGAATAACCCTTCCTGAAACCATGCTGTTGGGGTGAGAAGAAATTTAAGGACAGCAGATAGTCATGTATATCATCGTATACCAGGGACTCCATGATCTTTGAAGGTATAGAGAGAAGGGCCACCGGTCGGTAACTTGAAGGTTCACTGCGTCGACCTCCTTTGAAGATTGGTGTGATATGAGCCAGCTTCCAAATATCCGGTAGTTTGCCCCGACTTAGCGAGTGTGAGAACATCACGCTAAGCGGTGTTGCTAGGATTAAAGCTGCTTCCCTCAGTATAGCAGAGTGGACCATATCTGGACCAGGAGAAGTGTCTGTTCTTAGGTGTTGTAGTTTACGGTACACCAAGTCAGCACTCAGTTTCACTACGGAAAGTCCTGTGCAGTTGCAGACAGAGCCGACATCAGTATAGTTGATGTGGGTCGGCTGAAATGTCCGGGAGTAGTGCTCAGCCAGAAGGTTAGCGGCGTCACCGTCATTATCTGTCGGGCCGTTAGGACCTAGCAGTTGAGAAACTCCAGTTTTGGCTTGA